AGACGGGGTCCCTGTGAGTCGGAACAGACTCCACAGCAACTAACGACCTACTGTCACACGGTGGTGCAGCACACTCGGGATAAGCTGTAACACAAGCATGTTTATCTTTAGTGAGTTAGCGCAGGGAAAGGCAAAATAATCATTTTAGGAAACACTAGAAACCTGGCTTGCTACAGGAAAAAAAAAAGGACTTTCAATTCTAAAAACTTGAAAGTGCTCTGTGATGATTCTGCAAACTCTCATATATAGATTTCAGATGCTCATCAACGTCAACAACTCCCAGCATAGAAGCACAGTCATCAAAGAGCGTCACTGACCTTCATGGCTGGGGAAGGGAAGACACACTGGTTATTCACAAAATGAAAAGATCATTAGCAAAGGGTAAACATGTAAATTGGGGCACTGGAAAAATAAAAGCAGCATGAATCAACACTATCAAGAAAGTAAAAGAAAACAGACAATAGTAATGATACAAAACACAAATGAAGACTTTCAGGTTTTGGTCTGATATGTAAACAGCTTGGAAGTCATCGCTCCTATCCTCAAGAAAAAAGCTGAACATACTGGACTCAGAGTATTGAGGTCACAGGGCAAACGACTGCCCCGCAAACTGGAAGGACACATAAGCAGGTACAGAGAATCATTCCAGAGCAGGAACCTTGGAGCAGAAATCACCGCTAGGATCAGTACCAGAGAAGAAAGACTTAAAGTGTAACTGAATAACTGCTGGAGGCTTGGTGTGGACAAGCTTCAGGGTTAAATACGCCTGGGGGCCGTCTTAGGGGGACCTACAGATTTTATGAGTTTTGTCTCCACGAACCTTACCAGGTCCTTGGTGTGAAGATCAGAGAAAAATTCCCTTGTACTGCCAGTAGGGGCTGGAGGAAAAGCAGCCATTTTGAAACTTGCCCAGAGCATCCTGTTCTGCTACACAGGGCCTGCTCTCAACAGAAACTATTTTACTCGAGTCTAACAGACCTGGAGCAGTGAAATACCCAACCTCAGCCCCATCCAGGCTCCCTGTCTCACCACAGTGGGGAGGGGAGAAGCAGAGAAGCACTGTGAAGTCATTACCCAGGGACACAGGTTCACTAAAAGACTGAGACCTAATTATTGGAACACAGAGAACTGACAGCGCCGACAAGGCAAACAGCAGTATTAATTAGGCTACTCAGAGGTCACAGGGCATTCTTTCAATGAATTCAATTAATTAGGCTATTGATGTCACAGGGCAAACCACTGCCCCCCACAACAGAGGGACTACAGGCAGATACAGAGAATCATTCTGAGGATAACAGCACGCCCGCCATCTTGAATAAGCAAGGGATGATGCCTGTCATCCTACGTAATATGAGAACTAACTTCCGGCATGTAAGCTGTCTCCTGGTTAGGTAATATAGGAGCTAACCCCTCTTTTTAAGGTATCTCCTTATTTAGGTGTACTTCCAGTTCCAGCTCAGTTAAGAAAAACAAGAGAATGGGGTCTCAAGACCAGTCAAAACTGGTCTTGAACCAGGTTTGGCACACCTGACAAGCATAGTACCCACCTAACATGCATAGTACCAACAACTGTGTCCCTTGGATGACCTATTGATGTCAGAGGCCGAAAAACACACCCGTCTACACCCTGGAGGTGGCCAAACACCATCTTTGTGGCCCCACCCCTCAGACTGAGCAGGCGCAGAAGACCAGACCGCCCCAGGAACACCTTTATGGGCCAAACCAATCAGCAAGCTGACTCTACCTTGGGGCATCCCTAAAGACCCCAGACCCAATTTACTTTACCCATATAAACCCCTTGAGATATTATTCAAGGAGCCACCCTAGCGATATAAGTCCCCGTGCACTCCTTTACTTGGCCGACTAAATAAAGCTTCCTCTTTTCACTTTCACTACTTGGTGTCTTTCTAGCCACGCAGAGCGTACCTGGAAGTGTCCAGTTACAATTCCAGAGCAGAAGCCCAGGAGCAGAGTTCTTATATGAGGTGCTCTGTGCTCTCAACAGCATAATTAACTGAATTCACTGGAAAGAATGATCTAAGACTTGGAAGATGTGAAGGAATCACCTAAGGGATAGCTGAGAAGACTGTTCCAGGAGGAGGAAACACCAGAACACAGACCAGCAGGCGGGAGTGCGCATGGTATGTTTTAGGGAGACCCAAACCCCAGCATGACCAGAGTGAGATGCTGGAGAGAAACAGTAGAGGAATTTGGAGAGGTGATTGGAGCCAGTGGGCAAATTATGTTTGGGGGAATGTGCTGCCTTCTGAAAAGACTCCAGCTTCTAATTTTCTTCAGCTTCAACTTGAACTTGCATATAAGCAATTGATGGTCTGTTCCGTAGTTGGCCCCTGGCCTTGTTCTGACTGATGATACTGAGTTTTTCCATTGTCTCCTTCCACAGATGTAGTCAATTTGATTCCTGTGTATTCCATCTGGCAAGGTGCACGTGT